CTTTTGGGGGAATGGTTCAGAGTTTTGTTCCTGCATTGTGAATCTGTGCGGTGTCTGTGTTGTAATTCTTGATTTTTTTTTGCCGTTAAATTATTGATTTCAGGTGTCAGTTCCTTGTGTACCTGTGAATGTTTGTCTCTGCTTTTAATCCTTTGGTGCTCTATTCGATTGATGTTGTCTCGTGTTTTGTCTGAAGATGTGTAATTTTCTGCAGAATAGTTGTGCATTCAGTGAAATTTGGAGTTTTCATGTCCTTTTATTTCTGTTAGGCCCCAAAAGTTAAAGCTTTAGCTAATTGATTTTGTTCTTTCTTGGACTGCATGCTCTATGTGCGGTTTGAGCATGGTCTCTTCAAGTGAATTTTTATGTTTAAATTTTTTTTTTTCCTTTTTGGTGCCTTAGTTTCTTATGGTTTTCGGTCGATGTTGTCCCGTGTTTTGTCTTAAGACGTGCGCTTTTATGCAGAATAGTTGTGCATTCAGTGAATTCGGAGTTTTTATGTCCTTTAGTTTTCTATTAGGCCCCAACAACTGAGGTTCAAGGTTGGAAATCGAGGAAAAATTAAAGCTTTAGCAAATTCAACAACAACATAGCCTTTTAGTCCCAAGCAACTTTAGCAAATTCATTTTGTTTTTTTTGTTTGTATTGCATGCTCTATGTGGGGTTTGGGCACAGTTTCTTCAAGTGAAATTGACATATCTATCATGAAGTAAATAATTTGATTTGCATAATAATATTTATCTGCCAATGGCATCATATTCTGTGGCCACCGGTAGGACAACTCATTGTTAGCTGTTGGTTAACTCGAGTTGCAAACTTGTTTTCTTTCTTGTTCTGTCGAATATTATTATGTTTGATTTCTTAAAACATTCTGATTGGCCTATCATTTGTCTCCTAATCTATTTTACCTTTTTGCTTTTCATAGCTGAGAAAAGTTATTTCATCCAACTCCATGGTCATCTTTTTATTTCGGTTTGTTTAACAGTAATAAGATTAAAACTACTATGCTTTTCTGTTACTTCAATGCCTATGTTCCTGATATTTCAAGACGATGGTATAATTTTTTTTTTTACTCCTTTAAAGTTTTTTGGGAATTGTTTTTTCATGCTTTTCATATTATCAACTAGCTTATCGTTATCACTGAACCCATGTAAAAAATTTCATGATGCAGGTGACAATTTGTCTGCATTGTGGGGATAGAGGGTTCAGGAATGCTTTTGTGTACTGTGTTAAATGTGTGAAACTTGCTTTACACCGGTAATAACTAATGAGCTCTGTTCTACTTATGTTATATCGTGAGGCTTTTTTACAGTCGCGCTCTTTTGTCCTTTATGTGGTGGTAATAAGTCATGAGGAGTAACTGAATAGAACTCAATCTTTGAGATTTTGTAAATTGCGATCTCTTTTTGGGCAAACAAAAGGCTGGAATCTCCTTTAAAAAAGTATAAGCTTGGATGTTATGTCCACTGGAATCTCCTTTAAAAAATTAGAAAGTTGTGAAGCGAATTTTAGGAGCTTCTAACACTTTCAATCTCTGCCAGAAATCTCAACTTCTGGCCTTTTATGATAGAGTAAATTGGATATTACGAAACTGCTGTTGGTAAATTTTGTTTGAGGATATCTCTTTTTTGTGAATAGTATGTAGTAATGTTTTTTATTTTTTGATTGACTCATTGTTTTCTTTATTAAATTGTTTCAGCTACTGTCTCGACGTAATACCGGAGACTTTCGATGAATTTGTTTATTGGGTTTGTGATGACTGTGAACTCGAAGCTCAACTCAAACTCACTCCGCTTAATAACCATGACGCGGGCCCCACCCCGTCTGGAGACCATATAGTTGCAGAAGAGGAAAATGTTAACTTGCTTTCTGACATTAATGAAGAAGAGGAAATTGATTTATCAGCAGTTAGAGAAGAGGAGCATGACCAAAAAGACGAGCCTGCAAAATCAAACAATGCTCTGGAGGGTAAAAAACGAAATGACAAAGTGAGAAGGCAAAAACGGAGGTTACGAAAGAAAGCCTCCGGAAGTACTATAAAGTCAACGAGAAGGTCAACACGGACGATCAAGTCTACTAAAGAAAACAACAAGAGTAGTCTTGTTAATAATGCATCATCACGCAAGAAAGAGAAGAATAAAGAACGCATCAAAGCATTTGCAGGATCAGAAAAAAACAAGAAAACCCTTGGTAATAATAATGCATCGTCATGCAAGAAAGAGAACAAAGAACGTGCGAAAGCGTGTAAAGCGAAAGGAAATAAGGGCCCCGAGCAGGGAGAGAGAAATCGCGCCTTCGTGAGAAGCTCAAGGGAGAAGAAAAGAAAGAGGGATAGTAAATTGCCTTCTAAAAGAGAGGAAGACGAAATGGGCTCCGAGAAAATAGTAAAAAAAAGACGCATTTCCTCAGGAAAGTCAAAGACGAAAAAGACAAAAGCTACTATCCCGTCCGAGAAGATTCACGACGAAGAAAAGCTAGAAACTTGCTCCGAAAAACCTCTCGTGGCAAACATACCGCCCAAAGATGGAGAAAAGGGTAATTTTATTTTCTCAAACGGAGATAAGAATAATTTATGTGAAGATTCTCCGAAAGACTTTCCTATCATGTCAGCTGAGCCAGTCGCAATGCCTATTTGGAGGTAAG